TTGCTGGATCTTGTGGTAGACTGATTCCCATTTTCCTGAGGAATCTTCATACTGATTTCCAAAGTGGCTGTATGAGTTGGCACTCCCACCCGCAGTGGAGTATTCCCTTTTTTCCACATCCTCTCCAGCATAAACTGTCATTTGTGTTTTTGATTTAGAGAAAATGTGTTACATTTACACAATGGAGTACTACTCTGTGGGAAAAAACAGTGGAATTTTGAAATTTACAGGCAAATGGATGGCACTAGAAGAAACCACCTTGAATGAGGTAACCCAGTTACAAAAAGATCCTGAGTGAGGTAACCCAGTTACAAAAAGACAAACATGGTATGTACTCACTCATATATGGATTTTAGACATGGATCAGGGGAGTGCCAGCCTACAACCCCAGGAAACAGGGAGGATCCTAAGAGAGATATGCATGGTACCCCAGAGAAGGGTAATGGGACACTATCTCCTGAGCAGATTGGGAGCATGGTGGGAGGGGAGAGGGAGCTGGGAAAAAGGGAGGGGGAGAAGACGAGGGGAGAGGACATGGGGGAGCAGGAAGGCTGAGTTGGGGGAAGAATAGAGGAGAGCAGGATGAGAGAAGCCATAATAGAGGGAGTCATTATAGGTTTGAGGAGAGATCTGGCACTAGTGAGATTTCCAGAGATCTACAGGGATGACACCAACTGGCAAACTAAGCAATAGTGGAGAGACTACCTTAAATGTCCTTCCCTGATGATGAGTTTGACAACTACCTTATCTGCCATCCTACAGCTTTCATCCAGTAGCTGATGAAAACAGAGGCAGATACCCACAGCTAAATACTGAACTGAATTCCTGGAACCCAGTTGCAGAGAGGGAGCAGTGATGAGCAAAGGGGTCAAGACTGGGCTGGTGAAGCCCAGAGACAGCTGACCTAAACAAGGGGGGAGCTCATGGACCCCCAGATTGATGGCTGAGAGGCCAGCATGGAACTGATCCAGACCCGCTGAATATGGGTGTCAGTGAGAAGGCCTTGGGTAGTAGATCAGTATTTATCCCTGGCATAGAAATGGACTTTGGGAGCCCATTTCACATAGAGGGATGCTCTCTCAGACTGGACACATTGGGGAGGGAATAGGCCCTGTCCTGGATGAAATGACAAACTCTGGAGATTCCCCCACGGAGGGCCTCATCCTCCCTGGGTAGCAAAGTGGGGATTGGGTGGGGGGGGGGTGGGGAGCTGGTGGGGGGCAGGGGAGGAGGAAGGGAGGAGGAGAGGGAGCTGGGATTGACATGTGAAGCAAGTTTGTTTCTAATTTAAATAAAAGATTTAAAAGAAAGAAAATATACATAAAAATTTGGAGGGAACATAATCTAATAAAATTCATTAAAGAACAAAAAAAATGCTGGGATTAGAAGTATGTACCACCACACTTGGCTCATCTCCAATTTATCAACCTTTCACTTTTGAACAGATAATTCTTACTGTGACGTTAAGTTCTACACAGGTGGGGACTCTGTCTCGTTCACTGTTTACCCCAATGCTTAGGACAGCAACTGGCATAGAGTATGCTCTGAATAAACACGTATGGAAGCAAGGAGTTCATGATAGAAGAAAAGGTATGTGTAGTTACATAGTTAAGTCTTCAATATCATTAGTAATGAGAAAAATAAAATACTGAGACTTTTTTTTCAGAAAGATTGGCAAAAACAAAAAATATTGAGGAAACAGAGGAAAGAGTACCTTTATACTACTGGTAAAATTATAAACTGGCAGCCAGGCAGTGGTGGTACAGCCTTTAATCCCATGAGAGGCAGGAGGATCTATGAGTTCAAAGCCAGCCTGGTCTACAGAGTGAGTTCCAGTACAGCCAGAGCTACACAGAGAAACTCAGTCTCAAAACCACCTCCCCAAATATATACACATATTTTGGCAACATCGTTTTAAAGGAAAAGTGGCATAATCTACTAAAATTTAATATTCACATTCTTCTTCTGAGGGATTTTATTCCCCCTCACTCATCACAGAGGACCGAGAAGCATGTGCACATTCACCTGACTTACCAAAGCAAATGAACAGAAACGATCTACAAGGCAGACACGAATGAAGCACAGAGGCACGCACTGTTTAGTACTTCCTTGCTTTGCTTTGAGTCGAAATGTTTTTATACGAACATTCAAAAGAAAGCGACATTCTTGGTGACTGTGGCTGGTAAAAGAGGACTGGAATGAGACAAATGACCTATGGAATCAGGAAGAGCAGAACATGGTGTACCTACCTTAACATAGTCAACTGCCCTCGGAGAAAAATCACAGGCGTAGGCAAAGATATTCAAATCCTCTTCTAAAAGTGGGAATAAACAGTTCCCAACCCCACATCCAGCTTCCAACAAAGTCAATTTTTGACCTTCATACTGAGGAATGAGAACACAAAAGTTACACAATGAAGAACTACACCAAGCTAGAAGGAAAAGACAATAGGGGTACCTTACTTATAATTACCCGACATTGGGCAGTTTAGTATTAAGAAGAAGAAAAACAACAACGCTGGGCGTTGGGGGCACACGCCTTTAATCCCAGCACTCGGGAGGCAGAGACAGGCGGATCTGTTCCAGGACAGCCATCAGTACAGTGCAGACGCAGACTCTATGGGGCTCACTTTCTCCTCAAATCCCAGCTGCTCTTTTGCCTCTGTATTCTATCCTTGGGTAACTCATTTCTATACTCTGCGCCTTGATTTTTTTTTCCTTCAAATGAGAATGCTAATGAACTTCATAGAGTTGCTATGAAGCTTAACTAGGAGAACATACATAAAATTCTTAGAAAAGGGTTATAGTGAATGGTTCATTAACGACTACCACTAACTACTATAAATACCTTACTCTGAATATTTAATATTTCTAACTTTCAGATTGGCTTTAAGTAAGTAGAAAACAACATTAAGGGGCTGGAGAGATTGCTCTGTGGTTAAGAGCATGTGCTGCTCTTCCAGAGAAACCAAGTTCCGTTGTCTGCATCCATATGGCAAGTGAGAATTGTCTGCAATTCCAGTCCCAGTAGATCTGATGCCCTCTCCTGACATGCATGCAGTGCACAGACATACCCGAGGCAAAACACTTATACACCTAAGACAACGAAATAAACAAATCTAAAGAGGAAACCCTAAAAGTTCTTTCCTGTTAAACAGCCCAGAGACTGCTGAAATTACTCAAAACAAAACAGAACTCTCCTTAGGTACACTTTGATAGGCTTCATACATTTTCTTTAGGGTAGTGCAAGTCAGTACAGTGAGTGTCACACAACCACAAGGACCTCAGAGTTCAACCCCGGGCACTCACGTAAGAAGCTGGGCATGGTGAAGCACGCTTGCAATTCCAGTGCTGGGAAGGCTCTCTGGGGGCTCACTGCCATCCAGCCCAAGCTAATCTGTGCATCCCAGGTCCCAGCCACAGCCCCTAAACACAGGAGACAGCTCCTGAGAAGGTGCATAGCTGGGAGCGCACTCTCCATGTAATAAAAGATCTCTCTTCTACCCATGGCAAATGAAGACAGCTCAGGGCCCTGAGACACCCCAGCCTACCTCCCTACACGATCTTAGCTCCTCAAACTCTCTGGTGGTCCAGTGTCTGTCCTTGAAGAAATTGGTACTGTTTCTTTTGTAAAAAAGGTCCCAGTTCTTCTGAGCCTCTTTTTCCAGTTTTTGCTGTTTAAAATCAGACACCAAGGCTTGGTCTCTGTGCAGTCTCTCCTCTTCCTCAGAGCTAAGCATCCTGGCTTGCAGTCCCTTCCTTTGCAAGGACGCCACGGCAGCTGCTTCAGCTCTGCTGAAGACTCCCTGGTCTTCTTTGACCACCCGAACCACGGGTGCCGATCCTGCAAGCACCGGATTTTTCCCGGTGCATTTTCCCCAGGTGTCTTCCCAGCTTCAGCAGCAGCAGACGATGGCTACTCGGGGGCAAAGAAACTCTAGTTAGCGATTCTGTAACCGCCTGCCCACTCCCCTCCTCATCCACCCGGCTTCTCTGTTCGCCGGGGGTCTAGGTGTGTGTCAAGTCAGCCTGGAGTTCGCTCCGCAAGAAGCCCAGGCTGTCCCTTGACTGTCTTCTGTCCATCCTCCGGCCTCGGCCTTCCAAGTGCGGTGACCGCGGGCTTGTACCGACTCCACGGAGCCGGCGCTTACGCTAGAACTTGTAGGGTTTGGGGTCAGAGACTCCTGACGAGCTCCTGAAGGCGCTTGGGGCCAAGCCACCAAAGCAACCCCCGACGACGCCAGAGGCTGACTCGACCCAGCACCCCGCCGGGGGCGGGAGAGGTCACAAAGACCGAGGCGGTCTACTGCACAACGCTTGCTGCCCTCGGGGGGCCGGAGCCCTCATGTCGCGGGCCCCAATGCAAACCGGATGAGCCAAGCATTTTACAGAGACAACGGACTTCGTGCGGACGAGGCCGCGCTTCCCCGAACGTCGACCCGGGTGGGGTGGGGGAGAGAAAAAAAGAAAATGTGAGGAGCCGATTCTCATCAACGCCCGGCGACAGGACGGACGCCGAAAGCAGGGAGGCGAGGGACCGGCAAAAGAGGGGCCACGTTCGCCGGGGCCGGGGCTCGGCGTTTGCTGGAGGCGACGGCGCTCATCCTCCCCACCTCCGGGGCTTCTGATCGCTCACCCAGCGAAGGCAGCGCCGCCGGCCGGGAACGGAAGCCCTCACACCGCCGCCCCACGGAGCGCAGCGGGAAGGCCGAGTGACGGGGCGGGTCGCCGAGGTCCGTCCTGTCCCCCTCGGGATAAACCAGACTAGGGCGGCGGGCGTCAGCGCTCAGGCTCGCCCTCTCTCAGCCCCCTCCCTACACGCTCGGGGCTCGCCGCCATCAGTTGCCGGGGTTACCAGCGACAGCTAGGACTGCCGAGCCCTCGGGGGTGGGGTGGGGAGGAGGATAAAACCTCTTCGGTGGAGCGCAAAGACAGAACCGGGACACTCACCGCCCACTACGGTCCACACGCGTCCTCCCGCGGGGACCCGCCTCTGGCTCCATGGCCCTCCCCCCGCTAGTTCCGTTGGGAAGCCGGAAGTCCCGCCCCGACGCCGGAAGCGCTGCGGCCTTCCTTCCTCAGAGCCTCCCGAGACGCGGCGGAGACTGGCTTCCGGCCCCGGGCGGGCGCGGACTTGGCTCGGGGCGCGTTCCGGAGCGGGGTCCCGGGAGCGCGGTCCTCCGGGCCGCTTGCGCGGGGCTCGGGGACTGCGGCGGAGGCCGCGCGAGGAGGACGCCGATCCGGGTGCCGGGCAGGTGCAGGGCCATGAACGGCACGGCGAACCCGCTGCTGGACCGCGAGGAGCATTGCCTGCGGCTCGGGGAGAGCTTCGAGAAGCGGCCGCGGGCCTCCTTCCACACCATTCGCTGTGAGTGAGCGCCGCTCGCGGGCGGGCCCTCCATCCCCCAAACCTGGGGCCCCCACTCCGGCCGCCGCGTGCCCGCCCCGGGCCCCTCCTGTCCTGCCTCGGCTTCTCGGAAGCGTCGCTCTCCTTATCTCTCACCCGAGGGCCTCTGGGACTTGGATCTGGTTCTCTTTATTTCCACATCGCTCCTCTCGAAACTCTGCAGAGTTGCTGCTGCCTAACTATCCCCTCCCCCCCGCCCCCCAACAGCCTCAAAGACCAGTTCAGAAGGTCAGCGGCCCTTTATTTAGAACGCCGCTTCCCAGCCCTTAAGCCAAACTTCACTCCTTTGGAGCGAGGCCCCTTCCTTCTCCCCTCGTGCCCCGTCTCCCTCCTCCCCCCCCTTTGTCGAATTAATTCTGTTGCATCAGGGCTCACGCCCTGGAAAGAGACTTCTCGTTCGCCACGAGCATCATTTACTGTGTCTACGACATCCTGTCTCCCTAGTTTTCCTTTACCCCTTAGGGCCCTGGGGCCCCTCCACAACTAGGGAGTCTGCATTCTTTGCGCCATCCGTAAGGTTTTCTCATCCTCCCTTCGTGCTTCTTTTGACACTGGTCCTGTTGCTGCTGCTGCTGCTGTTTGAGACAGTGTCTTCCTGCAGGCTATGCTGGCCTAGGACTCATTTATACAGTTCAAGCCAGCCCTGAACACGCGGCAGGCCTGCCCCAGTCTCTGTGGTGCTGAAATTACCGGCCTGATCCACCGTACCTAGCTGACATGTCTTTTGGCCCGCCTTCACCGCCTTGACTTGCGGGCCAACTCGCTTGTGGGCTAAAGAAAAAAAAATTAATAAAGAGTTTGTGAACCTGGCATAAGTTACAGCCTGATCTATGTTTGGAAAACGAAGACAGCAGCTTAGGGAATGTGGAGATGGTCATTATGTTGGGGCCTTTTCCTACATGATTATAGACTCTGAGTGGGGTACGTCCACCGTGTGTCCCGAGTAAAGATTCGGCTGACGGAGCACATCCCTCAGTGATTCACAGCTTCTGGTTTCCGGCAGCATTAACAGCGGCCAGGGCACGCTTTGTCATGGGAGTAGTAGACGTGACTCAACACGTAGGAAGGAGGTGTGTTAGCTTCTAAAGTCCCATCTTTGTGTGGCCGCTGGTGTCACGGCAGCTCCAGCTGTTTCAATGAGACTGCCTGCCGTGTTTTCCCCCTCCGCTGAAGGGTTTTAAGTGAGATCCTGCACAGGGACACCCGGCCTGCAGTTTGAGGCAGGCGTGTGTTAATATGAAGCGAAATGGCTCCTCCGACTGTGCAGTTTGTAAGGATAGGCAGGGTAACTTCTGGAGTTCACTCGTCTGCTCCTGAACATACCTGGAAGTATCTTGAGTGTGGCAGATTCTACTTTTGAGCGCTTCTATTGAAGACGAAATCAACCTCACGGGGCCCCTGTGTCTCCTGTAGATTTACAGCTCTGTTGCTTGTTTGCACACAGTTCTAATAATTACCTTATTATGGATGGTAGATGTTAACTGTTATCTGTCACTTAGGATAAGGAAATGCCTTTTCATTAATGTAAAGGGTGTATGAGTTCCAACTCCTTGCACCAAAATAATAGTGTAGTTGAAGGCAACATAATTAGAGGTGTTCCTGAGTTGCTAATTATTGAATGGGATGAGGGTATTTGGGGCTCATTGTACTTATTCTCTCTACTTTGTATGATGAAGTCTTTTTTTTTTTTTTTAAGAATTTTAAGAATTTTAAATGATGGGCCATGAGAGCATGAGTATCTGATTTGGATTTCTAGAACCCACATAAAAGTGCCACAGTGTGGTAGTAAACAGTTGCAATCCCAGTGCTAGAGATACTGAGACAGGAGGATCACTGGGGGCTCACTGGCCAATTGATGTCACCTATTCAGTGAGCTCCAAGCCAGCGAGACACCCTGGTTTTTTGTTTTTTTGTTTTTCCGAGACAGGGTTTCTCTGTGGCTTTGGAGGCTGTCCTGGAACTAGCTCTTGTAGACCAGGCTGGTCTCGAACTCACAGAGATCCACCTGCCTCTGCCTCCCAAATTCTGGGATTAAAGGCGTGAGCCACCAACGCCCGGCTGACACCCTGTTTCAATAAGCAAGAGAAGCTGGTGGTGGTGGCAGCACCACTTTTAATCCCAGAACTCAGGAGACAGAGTTTAGGCAGATCTCTGTGTGTATTCAGGGCCAGCCTGATATACAAAGTGAGTTTCAGGACAGCCTGAAATCCTGTCCTGAAAAACAAACAAAAAAGACTAACAGTACCTGAGAGACTAGCACATGTATACATGAACACATGTACCCATGTACATACAGGGACACACGTACATGAAAGAATCCTGAACCATTTTTACTTATATAATATAGTTTTAATTCTGAAATTAAAGTGCTCAGGAAGTCCTTATTTTCAGTCATCCAATGGGAAATATTCTTTCTTTTAGATGACTTTAAGCCAGCATCGATAGATACTTCCTGTGAAGGGGAGCTCCAGGTTGGCAAAGGAGATGAAGTCACAATTACACTGCCACATATTCCTGTAAGTTGTTTCCATTGTTGGTTTAGTGTAACGAATCTTTGTATTTTATTGCAGTTTGATTTTTTTTTTCTTTTTTCGAGACAGGGTTTCTCTATGGCTTTGGAGGCTGTCCTGGAACTAGCTCTTGTAGACAAGCCTGGTATTGAACTCACAGGGATCCACCTTCCTCTGCCTCCCGAGTGCTGGAATTAAAGGCGTGCGCCACCACCGCCCAGCTGAATTTCCTTTTGTTTAAATTTTTTTTGATTTTTCAAGAGCCAACATAAATAAAATAGGAATTTAGGAGTTGGGTGGGTAGTAACTCATGTGTCATGAGACTTGGTTTAAGGTAGTTCTTTGTCCTTGTTCCTGAGTTCCCCTCTCTCCAGTGTGTAGTACAGTAGGCAACTTTCCATCTGGACAGCTGCGCCTCTGCTAGGTAGGGTTTCTCACAGGCAGTTCTGGAGAGAAAGCCCTGAGTGTCACGTGTAGCCGTAGCAGCTTCTGAACACTGGGCAGCCAGAAGGCAGGTAGGAGCCAGAGGTGTGGGAACAAAAGACTTTGGCTGGAGGCCCGCTTCCCCATCAGCCTGGGAGCAGGCAACTGTAAGACATGTTTACTGGAGTTTACTGAAAATAATCCAGTACCCTAAGAAATGTTTACCGGAGCAATAAGTTCTCTATAAGGGCTCGCTCACTGAAACACCCTGACTTTGATCTTTCCACCCCTTTCCCCGAAGCAGACTCTGGAGTCAGGGACATATTACCACCAGTCGGGGCAGAAAAAGGGCACATGGAAGCTTTTCCTAGTAGAGTTTTTTTTTTTTTTTTGGTTTTATGAGACAGGGTGTCTCTGTATTGTTTTTGAGGCTGTCGGTCCAGCCTGGCCTCGAACTCACAGAGATCCGCTTGCCTCTGCCTCCCGAGTGCTGGGATTAAAGGCGTGCTCCACCACCGCCCGGCCCTGGGGAAGTCTTGAGCCTTCTTGGGAAGCCGACTGGTCTCTGTGTCATCAGCCCTGACACCCTCGTCACATTCTTAGATACAGGCTGTGCGGTGAGCGCCGCACAGAGGGACATCTTTATATGTGGTAAGGCATCCAGTGCAGGCTGATGGTCCCAGGCAGGAACAAAAGGCTTGGAAAATTGCTAATTTGAGGATGAAGAGCTTAGTTAAAAGCTGCACCAAGAAGGACTGGAGAGATGGTGGTCCTTCCAGAAGTCCTGAGGTCAATTCCCAGCAACTGCATGGTGGCTCACAGCCATCTGTAATGGTGCCCTCTTCTTCTTTATTGTTTTTGTTTTCCGAGACAGTGTTTCTCTGTGGCTTTGGAGGCTGTCCTGGAGCTAGCTCTTGTAGACCAGGCTGGTCTTGAACTCACTGCCTCTGCCTCAGGAGTGCTGAGATTAAAGGCGTGTGCCACCACCGCCCGGCATGGTGCCCTCTTCTGGCCTGCAGGGATACATGCAGGCAGGACACTGAATGCATAATAAATAAATTTAAAAAAATGTTCACCAAGGACTTGGAAGGAAAGACTTTGTAAAGCTGTCTTCAGGGCAACATTTTGGGTCTGGGCTCAGTGGCGCAGTGCTTGCCTTGCATGCTTGAGGTCCTAGGTTCATTCTCCAGCACAGCCAGAGGAAAAACAGAAAGAAAACCCTAACTCAGATTTGCATTAATAATCCTTTCGCATGGGGAGATGGCTCAGCGAGTAAACGACACAAATACGAGGACTGGAGTTTCAGTCCTCAGAGCCCGTGTAAAAAGCAGAAAGCAGGGTCAGGGTATCTCTGGGGCAAGCTGACGACTAGCTAGACTTAGTTGGGCTCAGCAAGAGACCCTGCCTCCACAGAGAAAAATGGAGAGCAATTGAGGGGGATGCCTGATGTCAGCTTCCAGCCTCTAAGTGCACGTATGCACACATGCACCTACATACATCTGCCCCCACACAAGGGGCATACACGCACACACACACACACAAGCAAAGCAAAAAGCAAACAAAAGAGTTAAAATAGAAGAGGTTCTTAGCACATTTCACAGCCCTGTCCTCAGATACAGTAAACTCTGTGTCACAGGCGGCAAAATGAGTCTGGGCAGCAAGGCCGACAGCCTCTGGGATGAGGAAAAACTGTTCATGCAAGCACTTCTTTTATTACATGTTACTTGTGGCGGGTTACATCATCTCCCATTGGACCTTAGTTTCCCAAATGAAAAATGCAGGGACTAGGTAAATGGTCCCTAAGCTACCTTTCAAAACTCAATTTTTACTGTGAAAATAAGGGGTTGAAGAGAGGTTTTTTTTTCCTAAGAAATTAAATCCTGTATTTGACAAATATTAAATGAATGTTCAATGTACTAGCCCATTTCTAGACTCTAAGAAACTAACCTTAAACAAGAACATTTCTTGCCTTTGTGCAGCTTAGGGTCTGGAATTTAAAAATGGGTACATATAGTTGTTGCTGGGTGTGATGCTTTCCTGTGATCCCAGCATTTGAGAGAAGGCCAGCCTGGGCTATGTGAGACCCTATCTCAAAACCAAACCAAAACAAATACTTATTGTGGAAAGTCGGGGAAGAGTTTCCTAACTCATCTTTGGACTTAGCAGAAGGTAGAAAAATTTAGACAGGAGTCAAAACGTAGCAGGTAGAAACCCAGTTAAAGCCCTGAGGCAGGAGTAAGAGCTTCAATTTTTCTGAAGACTGCAGAGCCACAGGATGGGTGGTGGAGGCTGGGGGCAGCTTAAAGATATCCTTTGGCCCTAGGGCAACTTGGGAGCAGTTGAAAGCCTTGGATAGATGACTAGCATGGGGTAGTTTCTGCTCACCCAGGTTGGGAGTTTACCCTGGGGTGTGCTATGTTGGTCGTTTGCATGATGGGGAGGCCTTGAACTCTACTTGCAAAGAAATACAGAGATCACTCACTGGTTTAACCAGTCATACCAATAGCTCTTTGTAGTGTAGGGGAGAGTCAATTGTTCTCAGTTCGTGTATCACTGTTCTTTAAAACATTTCCCTACACTGTTAAAAATGTGCCTAGTAATTTAAAATTTTAATACTACACTCATGATTACCTAAAACCAGTTGCTTGCCCTGTTCAGACTGTTCCTTTCCTTTTGCTGTGAATGCCAGAAGAGGTAAGACAGATTGGTCATTTGTTCTTTATGAAGAGCTCTGATGAAGGATGGGTGAGGCCGTGTGCTTTGTAAAGGCGGGATGTTCATAGCTGGTGTGTTTATATGTGTACTTTGTAAAGGCGGGATGTTCATAGCTGGTGTGTTTATACGTGTACTTTGTAAAGGCGGGATGTTCATAGCTGGTGTGTTTATACGTGTACTTTGTAAAGGCGGGATGTTCATAACTGGTGTGTTTATATGTGTACTTTTGTGGCACACAGGGGTCCACACCACCGATGACCGTGTTCAAAGGGAACAAACGGCCTTACCAGAAGGACTGTGTGCTCATCATCAATCACGACACTGGAGAGTACGTGCTGGAGAAGCTCAGCAGCAGCATCCAGGTCAAGAAGACGAGGCAAGGCTGACTTGGAGTTCTCCCTTCCTCTTGCCCCATGGGGATCAGAGCTAGGTCTTGTGTGCCGGCAGATGCTCTCCTGAAGGACAGTCTTAAATGTCTCTACGTCTTTGTGGCATTTAGTCCAGTTTTATGAAAGGGCAAACATCTGTCCCATCAGTAATGTTAGCCACTTCTGTCTCAGACAGAAGTGCACATTTCCCTCAGTAAATAATGCTTTTTTAAGAGCTAAAACATGAAGTCATTGGGGAAAACAAGGTATTTATAATTAAGCCAATTTTGTCAGTCTCATAATTGCTCTTATACTACCAAGTGGGGAATTTGATTTTTATGTGTAGACTTAAAATTATAAAACAGTTGCTTAACTTTACTACAGTAAATTGCTGCTTATAAATTAGGATATACTTGAAGTGACTATACTATCAGAATAAATCCTTGCTGAGTATGGTAGGTCATGCCTGTAAGCTTAGCATGTTGTTGTAAGTTGGAGACAGCAGAATCAAGAATTCAAGGCCATTTGAAGCTACATGGTAAGTTTGAGGCTAGTCTCAAAACAACAGCAGGAACAAAAAACAGTCTTGCAAGATTGCTCAGTGGGTAAAGATGACAGCAACTCTGATGACCTGAGTTCAATCCTCAGGACCCACATGGTGGGAGGCATAGCATAAATAAATACTCTGCAATACAGTATTCATTCTAGAACTTTGCACGTGGTGGGTAAGTGCCCAAGTCTGCTAGTTAAGTTTTAAGAGACTATTACAACCTGATGTCTGTTTATGTCTCCTCAAGCTATTTTTCTCCTTTTACTCATTTCACTACAAAAAGAAAAGCTCCCCTTCATTGAGATTATCATGGGCCAGTATGTTGGATGTTTTAGATGTGGTACCTAATCTTTACCAGTAATTTTTAGAGTGCGGTTTCTTTGAGGCAGGGGGTGAGACTGGGGATCACAGAAGTTGTGGTTTATAGACTTTTACTGCTAGAGCTGAGACCCCGCCCTAGGTGAAACATCCATAGTGCCTGCTTCTGTTCCATCCTTTGTTTTGTATCAAGTCCTCAGGTAAACCTGCAGCTCCTGTGATACCAGTGATGCTCTGTTGCCATTCTACTCTGTGATTTGGGAACCAGCAGCATACCTCTTGGGTACTTGTTATATATACTCAAAGAATATCAAGACCTACTAGTCAGAACCTGCAGAGACCTCCAGGGGATTTGTGCAGATGCTGAAGTTAAGCACTAGGTAGTCCTTTTGCAGAAGAAATTATTATTCTTTTTTAAGTATACAGATACCTTTTATTGGTTATTGAGCCATATATCTTTTTCTACATTGTCATTTTTGAGCATTTTTATTTATTCAGTTTTTATTCTTGTCTCATGCAATACATCCAATACAGCCCCCACCCCCTCCACTATTTTTTCATTTCCCTTCAGAAAAGAGCGGGTCTCCCAGTGACATCAATGAACACATCATAACACAATGCAGTAAGACTGGGAATAAACCCTCAAAATCAAGGCTAGATGAGGCAACCCAGCAGGAGGAAAAGATCCTAAGAGCAGGCAAAAGAGTTAGAGACACCCCTGTTCCCACTGTTAGGAATCCCACATATACCTCAAGCTTCCACAAACAACTACAGCAGGTATACAGAGGAGCAGGAGAAGTTATTAATGGATCAGATTTTTCTCAATTGGAAGTAGAACCCAGTAAATAGTCAGAAACTTTTAAGTCATGTTGTGACATTTTCTTGGAAACACATTTAATCACACTGTGTCTGTGTTTTATCTCCTTGCTGGGCTTTAGTGGATATGGCACATCTATAATCTTAGCTCTTGGAAGGCTGAGGCTGTCCCAGAGTACATAGCTAGACCCTGACTCAGAAAGGAAAGAAAAAAAAGTGCACTCCCTGGAAACAGAGGGTCATTTCATTGTCTCTGTATTGCTGATGCTTAGTCGAGTGCTGGGTGCAGTAGACACATGAATGTTAGTGCATTCTCATGGTGAAAATATGAAGATCAGCTTTTGCAGTCACTTGGAAAGAACACTGGGTTCTGCGGACGCTGCCTGTGTGTTTGGTCATCTTGAGAGATATAATTTTGCCTCTTGACTTAATGTCTGTTTCAGAGCTGAGGGGAGCAGTAAAATCCAAGCCCGGATGGAGCAGCAGCCCACTCGTCCCACACAGCCCACACAGCCACCACAGCCACCACCCCCCATGCCATTCCGAGCTCCAACGAAGCCTCCAGCTGGACCCAAGACTTCTCCCTTGAAGGATAACCCTTCACCTGAGCCCCAGCTGGATGACATCAAAAGAGGTAGAGCTGGGCTGTGGCATGGGGTCAGGCACTGGGTTCCCGGGAAGCTGACACCTTACAGATGCGTCATCCTGGCTCCAGAGCTGCTGAGAACTGGCACTATACCATGCACGTCATCGACAAGGATGAGCCCAGCTGGACAGGGACTGTCTTGGCAGCGTGCTTAGGGCTTAGGACTTGAACAAGCCTCACTGTCAGCTGAAGCTTTGCAGGGCCTTAGACTCCCAGAAGGAGTGTTCTCCATGTTTAGATTCTGAACTCCCCTACTAACTGATGTATGCAAACATAAGTGCTTTATTAATAAGGGAACTCTAAAAATGCCAAGGTTAGAAAAAATGCCAAGGTTCGATGCTCTGCTGTCCCAGAGCCTGTAACTCTGAAAGGCCCCGAGGCCAGTGGGAATGGGATCTGACCCAGAAGGACTTAGAGGTCTGGCTCGAGCCTCTCCATTGCTTACCCTGGCTTTCCTCCCACACAGTAGAGGGTGCTGGCCCTTCAGACTCCCAGGCATAATGGGGCTGAGTATCATACTTCACATTTATAAGTTTTGTGCAACAAATGCAACCCCTATTAGTAGAACACAGGAGGAGTTGAAGGCTTCCTGGGAGTTTGTCTTTTTTACCCTTAGAAATACTGCCTTCTCACAAACTCAGTCACCCTGAATTTCATACAGCTGCTACACCTCTTGATTATTTTCCCTCTTGGATTCTAGAATGGAAAAGAAATTAGGCCAAGAGTGGCCAGTTGTTGGCAGTTGCACTTAAAGGAGTCATGGCCATGTAAGGCCATGGTGATGTTTGAACAGAAAAAAAAAAATCTGTCAGCTGTCTTCATGTTCTCTTCATGTATTTAGGGACAGTGGATTGGTTAGGGAAAACATGTTTTTCCACCTCTACTTTACATCCGTGAAGAATGCAGAACCTGACAAGCATAGCCATGATCAAATGTGTGAGAGTCAAGAGATGACATTTCACCATTTGGCCTCCTTTGCCAGGGTCTTTCTTACAGGCTTCCATGGGAGTCAGAAAGAACTCAGGCTCACACAGGCTGCCCAGCTGTCTTTTTTTCCTTGGTGGCTTTGGAAATCCATTGACATCGATCTCACTACTGGTCAGCAGTTGTGAGTGTAATTGTCAACTTGGCAGGATCTGAAATCTAGTAGGGACAAGCCTCTAGGCACTCCTCTGAGTGGCTATTTAGCCTGTGGGCATGGCTCTGAGCGATTGTCTGGGTTAGATTGAGGTAAATGTCCCACACAAGTATGCGGCACCATTGGGTTTGGGTTATTGACCACATGAGGAGGAGAAAGTGAGCGAGCGAGCACAGGCAGGCTTCCATGGCTCTCTGTGAGTGACTGGATACAGAGTGACTCAGGGCCTCAGGCCCCTCACTGTGACTTCACTGATAGGCTGTTCCTGGAACTGAGAGCCGTAATAAATCCTTGCTCAAGTCACAGCAACAGAAAGGGAGACTGAGATAGGAGGATCTAACATAAACCCTCAGACTTGCAATTGCTTGATAAATGTTTTTCTATTCTTTTCTCTTATTTGGGGCTTTATACAATAACTCCCATTTGTTTGCTTGTCTGTGTCAAGGTCTCACTCTGTAGCCCAGGCTGGTCCTGAACTCAAGATCTTCCTAACTCCACTACCCAAGGGCTGAGGTTATAGGCACACACCACACTCAAATCAGAGTCTTTATTTAAGGAAATAATAACATAATAACCCTGATGTGTCTTATACAAAAGAGTCATTCTGAAACATTCAGTGTTCCCATCAGCCCCAAGACGGAGTAGGTTTGGGGGTTCATTGTGTTATACTCAAGAAACAGAGAAGACTGAAGTCCTTCCCTGCAGCTGGTTGTGTCAGCTGCCATTCACAGATGCTTCCTCTCATCTCAGTGGCGACTGTGCTGGTTACGCCCTGTCGTGTCTTTGCAGAGCTGAGGGCTGAGGTCGACATCATCGAGCAGATGAGCAGCAGCAGTGGGAGCAGCTCCTCTGACTCTGAGAGCTCCTCCGCAAGTGACGAGGACAGCTGCAGCAGCGGAGGAGAGGACAACGGCCCAGCCTCTCCTCCTCAGCCTTCACACCAGCAGTCCTTCAGCAGCAGGCCTGCCGTGGCCAACGGCACCAGCCGGCCCCAGGGAAGCTCTCAGCTCATGAATACACTCAGTAAGTGTGTCTTCCTGTAGTGGCTGAGATAGGGCGGGCCGTATGCAGCTGATGTTGCTCTGTGCTGGAATCTATAAACTGCAGGCATTTAGGGCACAAGAACGGGTCTTGACAAGGACAAATTGGGGAGATCCCCCCCTTCTTTACCTTTACTTGTGGCTGTGACTTCTGCAAAATGCTAAAACTTGATTGTAGACTTTTTGGTTTTCCATACACCAGGTTTAAGACATGGCCTGCTATAAAGCTGGCTTTTAAAAGTTAACCTATTACCTCTATTTGGACACCTCCCAGCCTTTGGCAAGAGAAAAGACAGGATGTTGTCATGTTTGGGTAGCTTTTCCTACAGATGGTAAGGTAACACAGAGGAAAGCCAGAACAAAATTGGCTTTGTTTCAGAGTGGGGCGATTCTGTGCCCATGTGTCCCCCCAACCGTGCATGGTGAATGGTCTGTCTCCTAGTCATCTTCCTTTGAGGAAACTGGAAGTCCTGGCGGTGGAGGTGGAATGCAGACCTGGTTAGCCTCCAGTGTGGTCCAAGCAGAACTTACCAGTCTCGGTGCTGTGGACCTTCCTGCCTGGGCAGTTCACTTTTTCAGGGCTGTGAGGGCCTTGTTGGGTGTATAGCTGCGTGTCTGGCCTCCACCCTCTTGTGCCTTCCCCTCCACCCCACCAAAGCACCTGCCACCTGTGTAAGTCGAGGTCCAGGTGAGAAGTCTGTCCTCACACAGTCAGAAAAGGAAGTCCGTCCTTAGGGATGGGGCTGGGTCCTCTGAAAGGGTTCCAGGGACAGAGAACAGCTGGTCTAGATTTAAGAAATACAGATGTTCACTTTCATCCAGCTGCTATCAGCTGAGATTCTTTTGTACACATTCTAAGAATCTGGAACTTCCTTTTAAAGTAATACGCATGTCCTGGAGAGAGGTGTGCAGAGGAGACTTAGCATGCTGTGTGTGCAGACAGCACTCAGCTTCCATCGTGGAAACATTCTGTTTACTGAGCTTTTTTTTAAGCGGGGTTGAGTTTGTGGCCTTCCTGCCCCAGCCTCCTTAGTGCTGGGGCTATAGGCATGAGCCACCACACCTGACTCTACTTAATGTTTTCTAAGACAGTTTCATGAAACCGCAGAGATGACTTAGGGGTTAAGAGCACTTGTTGCAGATGACCTGGGTTCAATTCCTAGCACACACGTGGCAGCTCACAACCACCTATAACTCCAGTTCCAGGACATCCAATGCCCTCTTTTGACCTCCGAGGGTGCCAGGCACCCACATGGTGTATAAACATGCATGTAGACCAAACGCTCATATACATAAAATAAACAATTATAAAGCAGCTTAATGTGAATGAGTCTGCCAAGTGCTGTATGTTATTTCTATTTTCTTAGCACATTTAAGACTGTCTTGCTGCTCCTCCTCAGTATTTAAAAGCAGCACCATATTGTGCTTTGTAATGCTAAAAGTAGTGTTTCTCTCAAAACGTCGGGGACTGCACCAGCCTCTTCAGTGAGCCAGGTTGGTTTTCTGCCTGATAGTTGTATTAGCAAAGGTTTTCTGGTTTTCATTTTGTTTCGTTTTTAAATTTTTAAATTAAATTTATTTTTTTAATTTTGTGTATGTGTTTTGCCTGCCTGTATGTGTTATGCCTCATGCATATTCGATGCCTAAGGAGGTCAGAGAGCGCATCAGATCCCCTGGAACTGGAGTTTTAGGTGGTTGTGAGACACTATTTGGGTGTCGGGAACCTAACCTGGGTCCTCTGCAAGAGCAGCAAGCACTCTTAGCTGTTGAGCATCTCTCCAGCCCCGATTAGGGCGCTTTTAGTGTGATGTGGTAAGTGAGCAGCCAGCCAAAGGAAGTCTTGACATTTCAAGTGAAGGCAGAGTATACGCGCATTGCAGTGCAGAGGGCTTGCTGCAGGTAGGGCAGGGGGAGTCCCTGCCTGCTGTGCTCTCAGCCTCACTTTGTTTTCTTTTGTAGGAAACGATTTGCAGCTAAGTGAGTCTGGCAGTGACAGTGATGACTAGCACCAGGCTTTTGAAATCGGCTTTCTGGTACGCAGACATGCTGCAAGACTCAGCTGCTTCTGCCAGGATTCCACAGCACAGGAGGACGTTGCGAAGCAGAGCCTGTAGGAGGAGTTAAGGCCTGGAAGCATGCAGACACTCAGTCTTTATCTTGGTGGTGGCGGTTGATTTTTCTCACATAATTCTTGAACAATCTCTTGTTTCAGAGTTTAAGTAGATCTATAGGAGAACTAACGGAATTCTGTTTCCACATGGTTAACATTAGTAATGAAAAACTGACCAATGCACCCTGGTCTAGGGCATTCAAAGCCCGTGTCTTCATCAGGCCAGTAATTCAGCAGTCGTCGGTTTGGCCAGGCGATCTGTACCAGTAAAATAAAAGTCTTTGAGGGGTTATGGAAAGAAAGGAGATCCTCAAACTATGTCATAGAAATACGTTAAGATCACTTTACACCATTGACATGAAATGGTAAGGAAGTTTTGTTCTGATCCCAATTTGACAAGACTGTAGAAGAAATAGACCTTGGCAGAGTCTTTGGGTCAATTAGTGTGTGTGGTGTGTGTGGTGTGTGTGTGTGTGTGTGTATGGATATAGATGGATGTGTGTGTCTGTGTGTGTGTGTGATGTGTGGTGTGTGTGTGTGTGTGTGTATGGATGTAGATGGATGTGTGTGTGGTGTGTATGTGTGTGTGTATGGATATAGATGGATGTGTGTGTCTGTGTGTGTGTGGTGTGTGTGTGGTGTGTGTGTGTATGGATATAGATGGATGTGTGTGTCTGTGTGTGTGTATGGATATAGATGGATGTGTGTGTCTGTGTGTGTGTGTGTGGTGTGTGTGTGTGTGTATGGATATAGATGGATGTGTGTGTCTGTGTGTGTGTGTGTGTGATGTGTGGTGTGTGTGTGTGTGTGGATGTAGATGGATGTGTGTGTGGTGTGTATGTGTGTGTATGGATATAGATGGATGTGTGTGTGTGTGTGTGTGTGTGGTGTGTGTGTGTGTGTGTATGGATGTAGATGGATGTGTGTGTCTGTGTCTGTATGCTGGAAATCCAGTAGCTCGGCTCAGTGCAGCTGGGAAAGGGAAGCCCACACAGGGAAAGCCCAGTCACCAGTCACCTGTCCCTGGTGCAGGCTTGCTCGCTGCTTCTCCTTTGAATTACATCTGCTGGCATCAGATTTTTCTGCATGGAACTTTGTGTCAGATTCCAGAAGACAAACGCATTGCTGGTGTTCAGCTTGGATTCAGACTCGGGCGATTCCTGTGTATGTGAGGCAGAGTGAGCAGGGCAAAGCAGCGGCTGCCATGCTGACACAGCCTCGGCTCTTAGGAGGCTTTTGGGTTCGTGTGGACCTGTCCCTAGGTGTTAGCAGAGGTCAGGAATCAAAGGGGGATGCAGTGAAGAAACCTCTGAGCAGATGAGCCTGGAGAAAGCCTCCACAGACGAGAGTGAATCCAGAATGGAGTTCTGCAGTGTGGAACATTCTTCACGAGCTCTGTTTATGCTTCTATGCCACTGTTTGTGCCTGACTCCCAGACTGATTGCTATTTACAGAGAAGAATCACAAGATTGCCTTTGTAGTGTGCCGTTTCCAAATGACTGTTCTTGCTGGAACACGGTCACTAGTCAATATTCCACATTGAGGAAGTGTGTGGTGACTTGAACGTCACTGCCCAACTCAGTAGTTAGAAATGAATGTATCCTAGGAAATTCCTGTCTTTGACATTAATAATGCTTTTCTTTCTTGGGTTCCTTCGCTCACATACCCTTTTTTCCTGAGCTAGTGTAGGGAGGTGGTCTGGACCTAGAAAGGAAATAGATGGTCCATGGTGGGGGCTTAGGTTAGAGTTGTATCATATTTGATACAACTATGAGATCCACACAGAGATTAAAGTGAGCAGAGACTGGGCAGAAGCCATTGCCCAGCAGCATATTTACACCAAGTACAGGTGTGGGGTGTGCACTGGGACCCTGTGCTGGGGTCTCAGCCCACTGGGGATCTCCGGTGGTAGGTGGGGACCTCTGTAGCAAACTGATCATTGCTTTATAATTCTTTGGTAATGACAACTCAGGGAAGGTGAAGGTCATGATTGGGTGACTCGAATTGTCACTGGATGTGGGGACTGTATTGTCTCACTGCTCTTACCCTCCTCACACTGGGGCAGGCCAGGAACTTGAACTAAAAATGCCCATTCAAGTGTCCCCAGCCCCGCCCCACTCCTCTCCAAAAGCCTTGGTCTATGTAGACAGAGCTGTGGCGTTGGCACGCTGGCCAGTAACTGTTTTTATAGGAAGTACTTGCACGTGGCACTGGGCTTGGTGAGTTGAGCCTTCTGAGCCCCGGACTCCCGTCACCTGGCCTATCCAACACCACAATCTTCTGTTGCTCCAGGTTGTGCTCTCTGCACAAACCCTTCAGCGGTCCTGTCTCCTTTCCCCACTACAGTAAGAAAGCCAGTTTTGAAAATCCAGAATGTAGCCTCCTGCATGATGGCGACGACGATGACTTCTCAGGGGTAGCCTTGTGCCAACCAAGTGACTTCCTTCCTGTCTCTGTGCCTTTGCCGTCCCCTCTTCTGCACCCACTCAACCTTCTCAGGCGCCATCTTCACCAACTCTTCATTTCTTTCAACCTATGGGGTGTGCCCTGGTGTGCATACAGACTACCTTTCTCCTTCCTGGTCTCTGGTTGGTAAGAGCTCCTCAAAAGCAGGGACTGTCATCACAGAACTAGATATGCACATGCTCCTAGCCTGGAGGGGAGGAGGCTGAGACAGCTAACTAGTTAAAGACTGAGGATAAACATAGGGGAAACATTCCAGGCACTGAGACAATGCTGAAAATACCCTTGCAAGTCCCTACTGAATTCTTAAATTACCTTTTGTTTGCTCTATGCAATGTTGGGAAAACTAATTCTATAGAGAAGCCATGGTAATCCTTTGGAAAATGTTGGGAAAATGCAATACACATAAACCTGGAGATTTGTAATAATGCCACTGGTTAATCTATTTCTGTAGCAGAATAATTTTCTCTATGGGTGGTGTGCTGCAGTAATAGGGAAACTTGAAAATTCCAAAGTCCTTCCCTTTTTTAAGAGTGTGTGTGTGTGTATGTATGTGTGCGTGTGATATTTATTACATTATTTTGAAAGAGAATTAGTCTATTTGTAGAATACATGTATTAACAACAGCCAAAGTGGATCTTTCCACTTGTCAAGGAACATAGACTTTCTAAGACTCAGGCCTTAACCAGTAGCTTGGAAGACCAACTCAAGTGTTAGGAAATGTGTATTTTCGTTGCCTCTTATTTCAGTCTTAGATTCCTTGTCTACTTTAATAATATTGAAAATCTTTTGCCTAAAAATTCATTTTGCTTAATTCTGATGTAGACATGCATGTTTACATTTATATTGTAATCTCTTTCAGATGAATATATTTAAATAAAAATGAAGGTCAGCAATATATTTAATGTCTTCGTGTGCTTTTTTTAAAGCTGAAAATCTATGTAAAATAGGCCTTTGTAAGAATCGTTTAGACTGGGTGGTAGTAGTACATGCTTTAGACCCAGCATTCAGGAGGCAGAAGCATCTCTGTGAGTTCAAGAACAGCCTGATCTACAGAGCGAGTTCCAAGATAGTCTGGGCTACGCAGGGAAACCTGTCTTAAAAAAACAAAACCAAAATAAAAAACAGCAACAACAACAAAAGAATTCTTTTGCTAAAGTCTAATGGATTAGCTTGATTCCTTTTTCAGTTTTGTGGCATGAAGTTCACTTTAGCTTTAAGAAGGTCTAACATTCAAAACTTTGGGTTTAAAGAAGGTATGAGGGTCAGGAGGCTAGAGAGATGGCTCAACCATTAAGGGCACTGGCTGAGGCCAGGCGGTGGTGGCAGACGCCTTTTATCCCACCACTTTGGGAGGCAGAGGCAAATTCCAGGACAGGCTCGAAAGCTACAGAGAAACCCTGTCTCGAAAAAACAAAAAAGACCACTGGCTGTAAGTACTATATTGAATAGATATGTAGAGAGTGGACAGCCTTGTCTTGTTCCTGATTTTAGTGGGATCGCTTTGAGTTTCTTTCCGTTTAATTTGATGTTGGCTCTAACTTGCTGTATATTGCCTTTATTATGTTTAGTTATGTTCCTTATATCTCTGCTCTTTCCAAGACCTTTATCATGAAAGGGTGTTGACTTTTGTCGGAGACTTTTTCAGCTTCTAATGAGAGGATCTCGTTTTGTTTTGTTTTGTTTTCTTTCAGTTTGTTTATATGGTGGATTACATTGACAGATTTTCATATGTTGAACCATCCCTGCATGTCTGGGATGAATTTTTCTGATGTGTTCTTGGATTTGGTTTGCCAGTAGTTTTTTTTTTTCCTAGATTTTTTAAAAATTTGAATTAGAAACAATCTTATTTTACATCCCCTCTTCCTCCCAGGTACCCCACCAACACTCCCCATCCCATCCCCCTTCTGCCCCCCCCCCGGGAGGGTGAGGCCTTCCATGAGGGATCACCAAAGTCTGTCACATCATTTGGGCCAGGCTCCCCAGTGTGTCTAGGCTGAGAGAGTATCCCTCTATGGGGAATGGGCTCCCAAAGTCCATTCATACACTAGGGATAATTCTTTGATTCATCTTTGTGTGTTTTGGGTATCAGGGTAACTAGTCTCATTAAAAGAGTTTGACAGTGTTCCTTGTTTCTATTATGAGGAATAATTTGATTATTAGTGTTAGCTCTTCTTGGAAATTCTGGTAGAATCCTGGCCCTGGGCATTTTGTTGTTGTTGTTGGGAGTCTTAATGACTGCTTGTATTTCCTAAGGAGTTATAGGCCTATTTAAATTGTTTATCTGGTCTTGATTTAATTTTGGTATGTGGTACCTATCCAGAAAATAGTCCATTTCTTTTAGATTTTCTACTTTTGTGGAGTACAAGTTTTTGAAGTACCTCCTAATAATTCTCTGGATTTCCTTAGTGTCTGTTATGTCCTTTTCATTTCTGATTTTGTTAATTTGGATATTCTCTCTCTGCGTTTTGGTTAGTTTGGGTAAGGGTTTGTCTATCTTGTTGATTTTTCTCTAAGAACCAGCTCTTTGTTTCATTGATTCTTTGTGTTGTTTTCTTTGTTTCAAGTTTATTGATTTCAGCCCTGAGTTTGGTTACTCCTGGCGTCTACTCCTCCTGGGTAAGTTTGCTTCTTTTTGTTCTAGAGTTTTCAGGTGTGCTGTCAAGTTGATAGTGTGAGATTTCTCCAAATTCTTTATGTAGGCACTTAGTGCCATGAACTTTCCTCTCACCGATGCTTTCATAGTGTCCCATAAGTTTGGATATATTGTGCATTCATTTTCATTGAAATTTAGGAAGTCTTTAATTTCTTTATTTCTTCCTTGACCCGGTGGCGATTCAGTTGAGTTTTGTTCAATTTCCATGACTTTGTAGGGTTTCTGTAATTTGTGTTA